CCATTATTGGTTAGTATGTACGAATATCAATTTATTGCGAAATAAAAAAGGGCAAAAAGATTTGTCCCAAACTGTATATTACAAAAAAGAATTCTAATAAAAATTCTTTCGTGAATCTTATTAAAATAAATAAAATCCTATATTTTACTGATAATTTAAAATTAGCACAATTATTTAATAAACTATATCTATCAATAGTATATTTTATACTTAAATATTACAAATACCAACACTTTTCCAAAAGGCAAATTTTAATTTTGTATTTTCATTATTCTTTCGTATAACTTGTAAAATTAAATTAGAGTATCATTATGTGTATTTGATATTACTATATTGTTAAATGCTGAATGGGCGCAAAATAAAGTCCTCAATATTGTTCCCCTAAAAGGCTATACTTTAGATAATATTAAACGAGATTTCCAAAAGACTTATTGATATTTTAAAATTGTAAAAATAGATGCATAAACGGAATGTTCTGCGAGGACTCGAAATGAGATTTAAATTACTGTCTCCCATAAATATTTCTTATTCTTTAACATAAACTATATACCTGCATAGTATTAAACCTACATAATTAGCCAGGAATTACCTGAATCAACAAGATCAGTCACTTGCCGACGATGAACCACTATTATCTTGTTCTTCCTGCCTTGAATCTTTTTAAGAAAAAAAATATTTTACATTAAATTCCATTCAAAATCATCCATTAATGGTCAAAACCTTATATCTACCATCTCCACCAAACAGCGCTGCGAGAGAAGTTGGTTGTGAGCCTTGATTTCGTATCGTCCGCTCCTACGAATCAATGGAAATAGTTATTAATTATTCACAAATCTGTATGCAACAAATTAAAACAAGCTTACCAAAGAATTTGGTTTTCTCGGTTTATTTTCGGCCTTTCTCATCTCCTGTATAAACTGATCTTTCATATCTCCGAGTTCAGAATCTAAATCGGAAGAATCTGGTTCTGCAACACCATCGGATTCACTATCAGAAGGTGATCCAGTAGACGAGCTGCTTTCTGAAGACGAACTTCCTGAAGAACTGTCGCCTTCTATTATTTCATCCTCAAATATCTCATTATCTCTTTGATTCACATCCTGAGTCTGATCATCCCCTTCCAGTCCATCATCTGTTGATAGTGTATCCCCGAGGTATTCCTCCCCATTTTCGTCAATGTGCCCATTTTCTTCCTTTATCTGATTCTCGCTATCAATATTCATAAATCCATCAAATTCCTCGTTATTTTCTTCTATAAATTCCGGGGCTTCTTCTTCACTATTCAGCGTCAAAGCTGAATTTGATTTCTGTTCAAAATCTTCTGATCCAGGTGATTCTTTAATTGTATTTCTCTCATCGGTACCAATCTTGTAACTATAATCTATGCATTCAAGTGTCCACGTCTGTGCAAACATAATTAGAACAGAGAAAATAGAGACAGTGTCAAATCACACGTAATCAAATTTATTGGGTACCCGTGAAATCTCGTCATAAATTAATAGGCATTGTTTTTTAGCCTCGAGATCCTCTTCGTCTGGGTCTTCTGTATAGTCTTCAAATCGTTGTCCAGTCAATAATTGAACTTCATCTCCCTATAAATTTTTAAAACTAATTGTAAGAAATTACCTTGTTAAAGTCTTCGAGTCAAATATCACCTACCGAATCTCCACAAAAGGAAACCTGAAGTGTTTCCTCGTCCTGATGTAACTCTATTTCAGTGGCCTTCGAGAAATCAACATTTTCCTGACTATCATCTATAAATGACAAGTCGTAGGAAAACTTTTAAAATATATTTTCACGATTTAAGCCTGCTAGTAAAATGTAAAATTCTTACAGACAAGTTTATAATAGGAAGTAGGTAAAGATCCATTCTTCGCGCCGAAGGTGCTACCCAACTTCAACTCGAATTCCTCAACATCGGAATCCTCCATGTTTTGTTCAACGATGCTATCGATGTTTTCGAAATCAGACATTTTAAGGTGTATGCAAATGTGTTTCATGTATGTTAGATTTATAATTTAAATTTTTAGGCAAATCCAATTGGCTAACCAAGATCATATAAAGGAACCGAAATTTTCAGCCTCGAAAACTTTACTTTTATTAAAATGATTGCTTTTTATTCTTGCACACTTTTTCGTTCTTGCGCTCGAAAATCGTGTTACAAATTGCGTGCATTTCCCATAAGAAATTTGGTATTTAGACACTTGTAACATGATTTTTAGATAATTGCTCGTGTTTTAATATTCAAAAGTTTTAAATTGATAGAAGACGCCTGGGTCTGAGAAATCACAGAGAGCTATTCTATTTCCAGGTATGCAACACAAAAGAATATTTATATATCCTCTCGCATAACTATCAAATTCTGCATGTTTGTCCGATATGTAGGTCAGGGTGCACAATATGTAGGAATGGGAAAAGATCTTTACTTGAATTATCCTTCGGCTCGACATGTTTTTGAAGAAGCCGATGAAACTTTAGGATTAAATCTATCAAAGTTAATATTTGATGGGCAACAGGTAATAATCCATTCAACTTTTTTTTTCTTTTATTAATATGTTTAATAATCAACAATTATATGATTTTAGAAAGATTTGATGATGACAGAAAATGCACAGCCCGCAATATTAGCAACGTCTATCGCTACGTTCAAAGTATTGGAGGTACGTTCATTATGTAAGTAAATATATTTTTTATTGTAAATTATCTATAGTGGTTGATTAATTAATTTTGCAGAGCGAATATGGCTTCGATATTGCAACTTCCTGCTCATATGCGCTTGGTCATTCTTTGGGCGAATATTCCGCATTGGTCGTTACCAAAGCCTTGTCTTTGTATGACGCCTTTAAACTTGTTGTAAGAAATTTTTCGCATTTTCATTCCTAATTTATAAGACGCACTATACATATATACGTGTTCGGTTATAGCGGCGGCGTGGTGAAGCCATGGCAAGCACGGTTGCCAGTTTAGGAGTCAAAACAGCGATGGCCGCTCTAATAGTCCGTGAGGAAAACTTGCCTAAACTTCGAGGCGCGATAGAGGAAGTTTGTTCGACGTTACCCGACGGAGAATTTGTTGAATTAGCTAACCTCAATAGTGTATGCAGATATTAATTTAGCTTTCTAAATTACACGTTTTTCACTTTGCACTTGTTGCAACTGATTCTTTCTTTATGAAGTCTTTTCAGGTTTTTATTCACCTTTTTGGAGATAATGAAATTTTATTTGAAGTACCTGGATTCTAATATCCTTAATACGAATATGTCCTTACCTAATGGTAGGCAGTCATAAGCGGAACTAGCCAAGCTGTGGATCAAGCGTCACGTGTTTTGCAGTCAAAAAGACTCGCAGCGCGTGCCGTCGATCTTCCCGTGTCGTAAGTTATCCATCAGTGCACTTTGATAAAATATCGTGTTTACTAATTCTTATGGTAACTCCAGGGCTCCGTTCCACTGTAAGTTGATGCAGCCTGCAGCCGCACATATGCAAGAAGCATTAAAAGGAGTTAAGTTTGAAAAGCCAATTATAGATGTCATAACAAATGTGACTGCTAGTCCGGTAATGTTTTTTTTTTTTTATTGTTTCTATTGATCTTAATCAATCGTCTTATGGGCATTGCATTTATGATAGATACAATCTGCCGACGATATACCGTCCTTATTGGTGCGACAAGTGACATCTACCGTGCAATGGCAAAGGAGCATAAAGTATTGTAGGCAAGCGGGTATCAATAATTTTATTCTGCTTGGACCCGCGAGAGTATTGGCCAATTTGTTGAAGAAAGACTTCCCTCATGATTATATAAGGTCAGTTGATAAAATAAATATATATCCTCACGCGTTTAGTTAATTTTACAATTAAATCTCATTTAATTTCTACTAGACCCTATATCACTGTAGAAGACATTCAAACTTATTCGGACGATTTAAAAATCAAACTTTCGAATACATCATAACTCGAATCACTTAATAACTACAAATATATACAAAATCGATTCATTTTGTTAGTTTAATAGTTCAACATAGGTCAAGTAACAAAATTTATTATTATTGATAGAATTTAGAAAATATTGAATTAAGTTGCATTTTATCTCTATTGTTTTTTTTTCACACATTGATTTTTATTCCACAGGATATATAGTAACTCATGAAAATTACTAGAATACAGAATTTAAATATATTTGTAATTACTGAATATATTCTTTTTGTTAAGTGAGTTTTCTGAAAATATCTTCGTAAATAACAAGCAACAAATTCCTTTTTTCGAAAAAAAAAAAATATTAAAATATCTATAGTGTGTTTAAAGCAAACATTTAGTTTATTATGTTGACAAATATTTAAGTTTAATTCTCATCTTGAGATAGTTAACCGGCCAGATATATTTATATTATTATATTGTACGTTATATAGTATACCAATTTTTAATATTCAAATTAAAAAATTAAAATCAATATATAATATTTTATAATTTGTATTTCAAAAAATAAATTTATAAAAATAGTTGCTATCTATTAATAATAGAAAACTGGTATAAAAAACTTTTTTTGGAAATTCCCTAATAAAACATAAAAAATATATTCATAAAAAGTTTTAATACCTTTATACTATCAATATATTCAATAATCTTCAAATTAAATAAATAAATAGATAAATATAAAAAGATTAACTTTAAATTGAAAAAGAATACTTGAGTTAAACGGTAGTTAACCTTGTAAAGACTATTCATGTAATTGTTTATGAATTAATTTTCTAATAAAAACTAACATGTATTGCTCATTTGCGTTAAAAAAAAAAAAGAATACTTGAGTTAAAATATATTAAAATTCATAATTTTAAAAAAATAAAGTTATATAAATATATATAGTAAGTAATTTGATATATAAGATTTATTAAAAAATAATATCAAAAAAAAAAATTTTTTTTTATTAAATAAATTATAATTCAATTGTTTAAAACAGTTAGTTTTTAAATATATACTGTACTTAAAATTAATTATTTAATAATTAATTAAATTAATTAAATATATCAAGTTTATTATATTTGAAAAATATATATATATATATTTTTAACCTGCAATTATGCCACAATGGCATGTCTTTATTGAAAAATTGAAATTACAATATTTTACAGACTTTCACAAAGTGACCAACTTGTCTTTATACAAAAGTACTCTAAGTTAGATTTTGGAAACAATATTTCACTCCCCTAATAGATTGGTAATAATCTCTATATACCAGGATTATTGTCAACAGTTTGTCACTGTTGATTGCCTGAAAACCAATGAATTGCTAAGTTAAAAAGAGAAAGGGGAAGAATGATTTGAGAAAGGGGACAATT